ACCCGAATCGTCAACTTTCCTGCTCCTCTGATGCTGCCTGGCCTGCTGTGCTCCTCCAGCTCCACACTGTGTTGTTATCTATAACAGAAACCAATGGATGCGAGGATAATCTATTTCAGTTGCAGTGCTATTAGTGACAGAGGATTTTCGATGGATACTTGCCACACTGCCAGCATTGGGCTGACATTTACCAAAGGAGTAGAAACTGAAAACGCTGGCACACAATGGCTGACATCAAACAACTTGCAAGTCAGAATCTGCCAAACCACATGGCAGATCTCACTGAAAACTCTGAATATGCTTCTTGATGGATTAGTCCTTGTGTGTCCTTATTCAAATTGAACAATTGGTTGATATTTGATCACTTTTGGAATTTGAGGAAAACTAATGCACAAACCCAGGTACATCTTTGCAGTGCTCCCTGGGTACCACAATTTGCTTCACATAGCACGTTTATTGTAATAAAATGTTCCAAGGCATTTCAATTTAGATACTGAGCCACATAAAATGTTAGGTCATGCAGTGAGATAGTTTTTACAAGGAACACCTAAAAAGGAGGAAAGAGAGGGTGGAGAGGCTGAGGGGTTTAGGGAGAAATTAAAGAGCTTGTTGATTATTGTACAGACGTTTCATTACCATGCTCGGTAACATCATCAGTTCAACCTCCAATGAAGTGATGTTGTTCCACTCTGCTTGGTATTTATAAGAATTCCCGTGCATATCTGTAGCATATCTGTGGTTGGCTTGAGCTAGGATGATCACATTGTCCCAGTTAAGTTGATGGCCTTCATGGTCCGAGTGTACTGAGATGAGAGAAAAGTTTGTTGTGTCGTTTTGCTGCTAGCTGGTGTTCATGTGTCCTGATGGCTAGGTCTGGCCGATGTAATGTAACTGGGACAATGTGATCATCCTAGCTCAAGCCAACCAGAGACATGCACGGGAATTCCTAGAGGCCTGGTTTTCAACCCATAATGTAATCAACAAGCACGTGGAATTAGATCCCATATACAAACCCACGCAGAACAGAATCCGAAATAACACAACCCAACTTTACAGACTGGATTATATAAACACCAAGCAGAGTGGAACAACAT